TCTATCCTCGACTTAACCTGTCAGGATTTAGATTCGTATGAAAAAAGCTGTAAATTTGGATGGCGGGCTCTGTAAATGTCGATTAAATCAAAGGTTTCCATGGTGGTTAGTAGCAAATTTCTAAATGGTGCAGGTTTCCAAAATGCTCCGCCTTTTTTGTCCTTTTTTGTTAGCATACAGTTCCAATCGCCTCCGATGATAATATTTGTCATTTCGGACTTGTCTGTGATGCAATTGTTCAATTCCTGAATGAACTCTAGTTGTTCTGATTGGTTGTTGGGTGCGTAGATATTGCATAATGAAGTTTTCACGCCATTTAAATGTGTGGTGATTAAAACAATTCTCCTTGTATTGTTACTAAAAAAAATTCCACATTACTGTTTATGGTTGGATCTAATAAGATGCAAACACCCTTGCTATGGTGTGTCCCATGAGAAAAAAGAATCTTACCTCCCCATTCACTTTGCCAAATTGATTCATCATTTACATCTGAATACGTCTCTTGGAGAAAATAGAAATTGGCTTTCTGATCTTTCAAATAAGTAAAGATGCTCCTTCTTTTGGTCTGATCTCTTATACCTCTAACATTTAACGAAATAATTTTGAATTTTACATTGGATTGCATTGCACACGTACAGGCTTCCTAAGCTAACAAAAATTAATAATCAATGCACAAAAAGAAGCTAAACCCCCCAACAATAATAATAATAATAACCAAAAAGAAAATAGCAACACACACACGCCACACAAAAACACCTTCGCCCTTGTCCATTTGAAACCTTCCCTCATGTCAAGACACAGAATAAATAAGACAAGACAATTTTCGACATATCCTACCATAACCATTCAAACGATCTAGAGGTTATTTAAATCATGTTCAGAATAAATTCGAATAGGTCTTCCCCCAGGGGATGTCTTCACAAACACTTTACTATCGATGGTCCACACTCCTAGCAACGATAACTCTTCTTTCCTAGCATTAGCTTTTCCCACCAACTCTCTGCGGAATGCCATCAGGTTTTCATTGATAAAAATCTTACTGGCTTGAACTCGATCTGCTGCTGTAGCATCCGGAAATATATCGGCAAACTGTACATTTCTCAGTCGAACTCTCTGTTTATAAAGAGAAGATTTCACTTTATGACTCACGAAGCGTACAATAATTGGGCTGGATTTCTTTCTTTTCACTCGATGGCAGATGTCAATATTGTCGGGTTTTACTTGAACGTCCAACGCATTGGCGATTTTGAGTACTGTGCCTTCATTTTCACGAATACTTTCAGGAATACCAACAATTTCGAGCGAGTTCTTTCTCGAATATTGCTCCAAATTGTCCAAGCCATCGTACAGTTCATTTAGTTCATCTCTTTGCAGAGAGATTTTTTGTTTAGCTGCATCAAGTTTGACTCTCAGTTCCTTGTTGGTGTTTTGCACATCGCTTAGCACGGTCTTTGTCGCCAACAACTCGTTTTCCAATCTCCTAAGCGACGACTTCAGTTCACCAACTTCGTTCGAGAGTTTGTTGTTCTCCTTGAGGATATTTTCTGTGGTTCTTTGTATGCTAATGAGTAAAGTTTGAATATCGTAAAGGTTGGGTTCTTTTGTAGTGTCAACCTCTTCTGCTTCTTCGACTTCTTCTTCGCTCTGTGCATTGTCGGTCGCCATGTTCGGGCGCTTTAACACAGATATTTTTTCCTCTGTAGAACCTCTTGAACCTCTCTTGTTCTTTTTACCTTTTGTAATAGGCATTTGTCTCGGAGGCAAACTTAAATAACAATTCCAGGTTCGCAGAGGGAAAAATTTCTTCCCGCTCAGAAAACATGGCCGCTCTCGGCCATTGCTCACGTGACTCCCTAGTGGTATTCAAATAAAGTGCTGCCCAAACTGCACAAACCAACTGACTCTGACCAAGTGTGCTGAAGAGAGAAAATCTACTGGGAAAAGATGACACATGGCTACCATAACAGACATAAGATTGTTGAAACTACAAACAGATATCATGCAGATTTACCCACAGAAGGCTCAGTGATTAAAAAAAGGAGACACCTGTTAGTTTTGAAATGCCAATCGCTTATCAATTTCCTATGAAACTTCCTGCTGATTTATTATCAGTTATTATTCAGGCCAAGTACATGATTTCAAAATCAAAGCTTCCATAAAAATTATGATTTTCACACATATTAAATACATGTAGCTAGTTCTAGAATTTTGGCCACCAGGAAATTGTCTCTATTTTGGGCACCATGTTTCTCACAATGCCTTAGTTTTTCATGTAGCATAGCCAATAAAAGAATACACACAACTACTTTTAGTCAGAGATTGTTAGTGAAGTTACACTGCTACCATGCTACGATCAGAGTTTCTGCTATTTGAAGTGTATTTCGCTGTCTCTCTGCTATCTCTTGGAGCGAGTCGTCAACCAAATTACGTAAGTTTTAATTTTTATATTTATTTGCTAAGTTGCGAACTGTTAGTCTTTTCTCTTTTACGAAAAGGTTTCAATTAGTCTTTCCACTAAGGTTTTGTTGAAATTGCTTTCACAAGTTCTATTATTGCTTAGTCTCATTGTCAAGTTGCTTTTAATTAATAGTCCAGTTGTTAAATGACTACCAAATTGTGATTCTTTCACACTATATTAAGCTTTCTTGCAAGACAGCCATTGATATCTTCTTCTATTACGACATGAGTTGCTATCGTCTCAGTTTTATAGTTTCAAGTATTAATTGTCACGTATATTTGTTTCACACATATTTGTTTCATGCTATGGTCTCGTTAGTTTTACTATGGTTCTATTCTGTTATACTTGTATTTTATACCCTATCTAAGTAGGACAAATTTTAACTGTTGCTTTTCAGTTCAAACCTACTACACCTACTTGCACGACTACTACTCCTATTTGCATCTACTACGACTACTACAACTCCTACAACTACTTCCACTATACTGTGATCTACTGGTTTTCGCTATTTTGTCACTACCTATTGGACTTGATCTGTCATTAAATCAGTTTGAATCTACCAAGTTCGAATCACTTATCATCTCGCACTGCTCCACCCTATAGTTGTTTAAAATTTGGTAAGAAGCAACCTCTAGAATCTTTACAATTACAACACCTAGGTCCATGGTTGTTATTGGCAACCCTAAAAACACCATCTGGAGAAACTGTCACATGACTTGGAACTTAGGCTATAAATTGTTTTTTAAAGCTGATGAATTTTACCCTGATTAAATAAAGATTATTTGTCTATGTATCTGTCCAGCAGATTATTACACCCTCAGCATGCAACTATACTTATTGTACCAGCCACTCCAATCAAGAGTTTGTCTGAGGTGATCAAGACCCCTACTAACACCCCAATAGAATGCTACAGAGGGCCCACTGGAACTTCACGCATCTTTCGATTTACCACCCCCAGAGTATATAAACACTGCCAAGATATGTTAAAGTACAATGATGATCTAGAGGAAATGCCAGCCAAGTGTCTTGTCCCATTTGGAAATTTTGAAATATGATTACCGTATTACAATTTGAGCATGAATTTGTTTGCAAGTTCCTTAAGTTACAGTCAAGCTTGCAAAACCATCAACACCTAAAATATGTCTGGAATGTTCATTGTGTTACAACCAATCACAAGCAAGATCTTAAACCACAGAAACAACAGAAAACAGATGCATTCCATCTGTCATGGAACTATAAATTTAGTTTTTGGTTTTCACTTTGTCCCAAGAGACACCCTCCATTCAACCACATAAAACAGGTGAGTTTCCGTCAGTCTTAGAACAAATTTGTTTTGTTTCAAAATTTTCTGTTTTTGATATCAAGAATTTAAATAATTGCTGTTACATCATATTTAAACACTTGCAACAAGGGTTTGGGATATTTTTAAAGTGAAAAACTATTTTCACAAACCATTATGCATTGTGCTGGGCAGATGTGACTGTATGACCAGCAGGGTCAGCAGTTGAATCACTCAAGCAAAACGATCCAAATCAGTTATTCAAATTATGGTCGTTATTTTAACAACAACAAAAAGTCATGAGGAATATTCGTGAAAATGGAAGTCTTTCATTAAATTTTTGTAATATGTATACATCTAATGCAAATTTATTTGGGAAGGAACAGTAAACAATTAAGGTGTTTACTGTTAGACATAACTTATTCCAAAATTAGGAAACAATTGCATTTTATCATCATTAATCTTTCCAGAGTCTTTAGATCACCAAATCACGGGGCCCATTGACCTTATGGATTGTGATTGTATAAAGATCAAGTTGCCAAAATGATAGCAAGGTTACCAAAAAGAGCAAAACTTTAAATTTTTAACCATCCCCATTTTATAGCTGTTTCAAATCAACTGTAACTTTGCTTGAGTAACTGTACGCTTTGGCTTGTCAATTCTTTTTTAAAATTTGCTCAAGCTAAGTACTATATGTGGCACTTGATACCAAAGAATAGCGATTATTTAGAACTTCCATAATATACATGTATGAAGGCTGAGGGTATCTCTTGGGACAATTAGTGAAAACCAAAAACTAAATTTATAGTTCCATGACAGATGGATCATGAATCCATCCGCTTTCTGTGGTTTCTGTATTCTGAAGATCTTGCTTGTGATTGGTTATAACACAATAAACATCCCAGACATATTTTTGGTGTTCACGGTTTTATAAGTTTGATAGTAACATCTGCATGGATTAAGAGAGGTACTGGGGTAAACTGCATTGCCTAAAAACATAAAACAATGACCACACCAGGGCATAAATGTCTGTTTGATCCAAACTCTAGCACACTCAAAACCATTAGACCAGTACACCCATGCTAAATATTGTAGACTATAATTACCATTGGTGTAACAGAACTTCTCTGCCAAGTCTTGGCGC